AGAGAGAGAGAGAGAGAGAGAGAGAGAGAGAGAGAGAGAGAGAGAGAATTTCAGTAAAATATTTCTGTCAGGAGATTATTCGATTGTTCTCAATATTGCCGTATTTCGCGGTCATTTTCTATCAATTGCGCTCGATACAAAGCCGGCCTATGACATGAAAGTCCAGAAGACTATGTTTTTTTCATGACTTTATTCAATACGAGCGAATAATCTACGCTTATCGTTTAACCTTACGCCATGTCACATGCCTAGAGCTGTCAATTATCGCTCGTTGCCTATTTCTCTATAACGGATGGCTATGACCCCCTTTCTTCCCAGCGAAATAGTCATGACTTCTGCCTGTGTAAATATATCTCACGCGATTCTCTCCGAAAATACCTTCAGAAAATTGTTATCGAGCGTTAAGGCATTCACGACATCCGGTGATGTATGTTACATATAGATTTTACACCACTACTACAACGGCGGCGGCACACAATTGGCGTGCACTTACGTTTACGATGCGCTCGAATCGACCAGTCGCGGCTGCTGATCACAGTCGACTGATATATCGCGCGAACTCCTCCGATATAAAGAATTAACGAAAACGTGCATCTGATTAGAAATTCGTGACACGTTACTTTTACATCCTTGCGCGTCGTTCGCGCTTCGCGATAATGATTATCTGTCTGATGATACAAGCAGAATCTTCAAAGCGGAAAATCCAGTGTCCTATTGCGTAAACATGGTAATAATTTGTTAGAACCGTTATCATGCACCGAATCGCGCGGGCAGATAAGATGAGGCTCGATCTGTGATTATGTGATTGTTCAAGAAATTAATACGAAATTACTTGTAACAATTAGAAAAAAAATAATACCAAATTTTAGATGCGGAATTCTACGAGATAAAATTGAACATTTACAATCATTATATGTGTATTTTTATTAGTTCTCGGAATAAATTATTTGTAGATGTCATTTACGATGCAACACGTGCTGAAACTGCACGTTAAATTACTTGAGCAACGACTCTATTATTTCATTATATTTTTCTTCTGTTTGAGACTTATAAGAATGTTAAAGTACAAAGACAATGCAGCGCATAATTTGCCTAATAATTATTCCTTCACTCAAGTCTGCTTCAAGTTGTAAGGTTGCGCGCGAGTCTCATCCTGCTTATCTTTTTTTCTCTTAATTTTATTCGACACCCACAAAGAGAGAAAGACCGGTCTTCTGGCATCCGTCCTTTTGTACGAAGATATTCTAAGGAAGGCTCTTCAGACGCGACAATAACACTCCACGGCTAAAAGAGTTGCGTCTGTTGCTTTAATTACTTCGAAAAAACAAGCACTTGCGAATATTTTATAATTTATTGAGAAGTTACGCATCTCGCAAAGATTAAATTAAAAATTACCTTAAGCTATTATAAAAGTTAAAACAATTAAGAAATTTAAATATTCTTGCAGTTTCTATTAAAAAGTATATTTTGTATTATAATACATTTATAGTAAATATAATAATAATAATTAAACTGCTTATATAAGTTGGGTCACACATCTTCCAGAAATATCAAAATGAAGAAAACAAACTATTTATCGTAATATTGTGTATATAAACGTAATAAAATCTTTTATCAGTCATTAAGATTTTGTCGATAAGGACTTTTGGAAATTCCACTTTTTAGTTTAACGAAAGATTTTCCATGATCAGTTTAGCATGACCTTTCGACAAAAGCTAACTATCGGGCAATGAGCCGGTCGCACCCCGCACACATATACATATATGCACACAGACACACTCCGCGGGGTCTCGTTCGCAGCAATATCGGCTTCCTGGCACGGTGCCCTCCTACGAGAGCAGACTTCCCTTCCCAAAGCATCAAATCGTTTCCTCGTGTCGCGCGTATACAGAGATATACCACGGCACTGGTGTCCCTAATTCCTCGAATAGCTACTATTGTCTAGGACTGAACTGAACACCCGGTAATGATATTTGGCCATCGAGGATTGCAATTTCGTCACCTGGCCGTTTCGAAAATCTATCTCTCTACGCAAGAGAGATTTCTCTCCTATAAAATTTATCTTAAAGATGTTATATATATATTCACACGATTAATTATAAATATTAATTAAAAAACGTCACAAGAGCGTCAAATTATAATTAACAATTATCGGTTAACGTCGTCATATAATTAGTAAGGAAGTTAGAATATTTCTGTTGTAACAATTTCTAATAATACAAAATCGCAGAAACACAAAATGAAATAAATGAGACTATATTTAACCCCTAAATGATTCTTATAATGCATGCGATTCGAATATAAAACTGCTGCTGATGCTGATTGTTTCAATTGTCTACTATGACGTCGGCTATCGATAAAGTTTCTAAATGCGACCTCGTTTGTTCGCGATTTCTCTCGATTTGTGCGCGAGCAATAGATAATTCGTAGACCCAATTTCGCGTGCGAAGATAATTGATCCGCGAAAGCCGCCGGGGCTTTAAAACAGATGATCCTGCAGGCGCTCGCTCGTACATGCATTTTCGTAACACCCGGCAGTGTGGTTTAAATTTATTAACACCGATATATTCATATCGAGCGTAGCGAAGCGTAAGAGACGCGATTACGAGAGATGATAATGGCGCGGCGTAATGATATAACGATGCTAATATTCTATCGTTACAGAATAGACCAGATAACACTACGCGCGCGGTTTTCCTTCAGAATTTTCCAAGTATCGCGTAAAATTAAAATTGCGCAACCGAAAAATACAAATGGAATGTGAATTTAAATTGTGTGAGATATTTTAGCTTTGTGGAAAATATTTTAAGTTGATTACATAGCGTTCTAATCGAACAGATGCGCCGATCGATTTTCGGTATTTGAGGCACACCAGGAAATTGCATCGGACGGCATATCTGGAAAATGAAGCATTGTCCGGTCGCCGGAATCGTGGATTTTCAGTCGAAATTCCGAAGCGGATTGCCGACAAATCACCGCAAATTTATTGTTTCCCAGCATCGCGGGGAGATTTAAATTGTAAAAGTGCGACGCTGACAAACACACAAATCCGCGATCTCTGATTAATATATTCGTACAATCGTGTATTGTTATCATTAAAGGGGTGTCAACACTTAAATTACAATTTGAAATTAATCAAGTTTATATCTTCGAGTGTCTCTATTTTGAAACATACCGCTTGATAACGGTTAAATACGAGGTCGAATACGAAAGATATGATCGTGATGGAAAAATCCGTTGACATCTGTCAATATTGCGCTATTTAGGCGAGCGAGTATTATATTTCGTTAATTATTATAGATCACACGTTATCGAAGATAACTGCAATTGCGAAAGTAAATAGCTCAATCTCTTTGCGTATATAAGACATTAATGTAATTATTAGACGTCATTCTAATAAATAAGTTCATTGTCTAAATAATTCAATTTTTTTATTTAATGCTTAAGATTCATTATCAGCCTCTTCATTTATCTCACAATTTACAAACCGCATATTGTTGTGAAACCACAAACCTTGCAGCGATCGCCGCGTTCTATCGCGAGTCTGGTCACGGCGTCTGAAGAGAAGTTGCCGAAAAGTGAAGTGGTCCCCGCCATCTCGGTCTGTCCAAGAAATTTTAATTATATATTCTAGACGGAAATCAACGTGAAAAAATTCTTCTTTCGCGAATGACGCTTCTTGTTTTCTTTTTAATAAATCACGATTTTTCGTGTTTTTTCTTCTTCTTAAACAAATTCCACTTTGTCTCGAATATGTCTTTGTTTGTTTTCTTTTTTTTTCTTGTCGCACCAGCGGTTTTGTTTTTATATTCACTCGACTCCACTTAGTTTTGCACGTCGAGCCAAAAATTCCTGCAATTCCTTTTCTCCATTTATTTCCACGTTTACTATAATTAACTATATCGCTTTCACGACACCGACACGCGTAATACCTTGAGAACTACGTAACATTAATTCAGTTAATACAATTGGAGTTATAGAGACGGACGGAGACAATCGCTGACTTGAAATTAATCGCCACGCGGATGTATTCGCGCCATTCGCGATCGATCATCGGTGCAGACGCGTCAAATTTTTTCTCTCTGCCTTGATCATAGCCGGTGGTACCCGAGTATTTAAATCCGCGCGTCAACCCGAAGACTGGGCACCGCCGCGCCGATGTGCAACATTCGAGCCTGAGCCTCGGGCTCGCCGAGCGTGACTACTCCGCTCCGCTCGGCATCGAGCGGAGCGGCGCGGCGGCCCGCAGGAAGCCGACCCGAAAATCTCGCGCTCCTCTCCTCGCTTCCTCGTGCTCTCATGTTTTCGCTCTCGCCGTCGGCATCGCCGTCGGTGAAGAAATCCGAACTTCGTTAGATAAGATTGTGAAGGATAGAAACCACGAAATGCTGTTTTCAAAAAGAAAAAAAGAAGAAATATATATACAAAGAGAATTACGATATATTATCAAAATACTGAAATTGCGAGGATTCTTACTTAGATACCCTATAATAATCAACATAATCCTAATGTATTGGCACTTTTACGATGTGTTTTAATTTTGTTGCGAATATATCTGTTAAAGTTTAAACAAGTTATTTATCGGAAACTTATATATTTACCGTGAAGTTTTAGCATCGTTTAACGTGCCTTAATATGCATCGCAAGTCTTTACCTCATTTTAAGTAGAACCGTTGTTATCTGCATTACACGCGCGATTATTGCTATCGCGATTTCTCCCACGTGCCTCGCATTTCTATAAATTGTAATTGAATGCAGTTATGCGATGCAGACCCAAGCATATTTTCGTGAATTTTAGTTCTACATTACAAAATGATTATGAAGTAATATATTATGCAAAAATGATTCAACTCTTATCTGTAACCTGCTGCTCCCTGAAGACACAAGAAAAAAATGCATATAACATATAAACGCATAAATACATTAATAAAACGCATATAATACATGGAATTGTATTTAAAAAAGATTATATAATAGTTTGGTTATTATATACGTCGATGCAAAATTTTATTTCCAGTGTTTCGCGTTATAGCGGAAAAGTAAGTAGGTTTTGAGAGTTGGTTCCGCATTGCAGAACTGCGTCCAATTGATGCTCTTATCGTTCTCGCCAATTACTCCTATTTGCCTTTATAAAGCTACTGTCAGAATAGAAAAATAGAAACAGATAAATTGATTAAAGACCACGACTAAACGATTAATTAGCTTATTATTCATCCATCGTGTTATTCAAAGAAAATTACTAACTATAATTAAGAGAAAAATTTATCTAATCACGTCTAAAAAATCTAAAAAAAAAAACACTTGAGAAATAAATTATTAGAGAATTATAAAATATTTAATTAAAAAAAAAAGATATATATTTAATTCAGAAAATAATTATAATTAAAATCCTACATGAAATAAAATTACTGCAAATACTGTTCTTTCTCAATGTAAATTTGACCGCAGCGATTTTCACGTGAATTAGCGTTTTCGTTTCTCAAAGGAGCAATATATCTGTAGAAGATCCTTAGGGACTATCGATGAACGATCTTTACGATTGCGGAAAGGAGTTGCGCGGACTACGGAAGGATTGTGGAAGGAAGGAAACGGCAAGTGCTCAGGTTAACGACCATCCGATAAGACGCCGGGGAGTTCGACGGTCGATAGCATTTGTGCATCGTAGCGCAGTGTAGGCTCGTACACCTGTGCGCGCATCTACTTCGTACAATACAAAAAAATCAAATAAAAGACGAAGAAATCAAAGTGTAATCTATAATGCCGATCGCGGCCTTAATCGCCTCTCATAATTCTTTCTTGATTTATCAGTTTGGCAAGAGATCGATCTAATACGTATAATATATAATTTTACAACATAGTTGGATCTGCATACGATGAAAGTAACGTCAAAACTTATTCGTGTTTCTAGTTTGTTAGAACATTATTTAAGTTCTAACATTTTAGCATATTAAAACTTGAAAATTCTATTTCGGTGTCATAGTGAGATAATTAACCATATAAATATTATTATTATATATTATATTATATTATATTATTGTTATTTAATAAAATAATATTATAATAATTGAATTTTAATAAATCTTTTGACATTTTTGTAAATATCCTTTTACATAAGAAAAACAACAAATAATACATTATAATAATAGGGGAGACGGGGGCTAATTGCCACACTTTTTAAATACTGATTAAAAAAAAATATTAGCAATATTTTATAATATCGTATACTACTTTATAATGTAGCTACATCCTTTAGGTGTAAGAAAAAAAATTAGACTTGTATATATTTATACACAAAAAAGTTATTTAATTCTAAGCAAAACCGCGCAAATGTGACAACTTACCCCATACCCAGGGTTGGTTGTCACATGACTCTGGATTGATTGTCATGTGTCTTTCATGTAGAGGAAACATACGACAAATAGTTCCTGTTTCAATATTTTATTAAAGTTAGTGCCAGTAATTGGTGAATTTAACTTAATAATATATTGCAGCATGAATTAAACAAAAAATTAATAATTTTCATAAACTTTGTAATATAATTCTCATAAACTTAGAGTAAATAAAAGAATAATAATTCTCATAAACTTTGTAATACTTTCATAAACTTTGAGTAAATAAAAGAATAATAATCCTCATAAACTTTGAATCCCATCTCATTTGAGACAACTTACCCTGAACGGTCATTTTGAACAAAAAAGATTATATTTATAAACTATGTTGCAATGACCGGTTAACTAAATATAGGAAAAATTATCTAAAACTATAATATTTTTTATGACCAAAAAGAAATTATGACTAGTAATTCCAAAAACCAACGAAACAATAAAAATAGAAGCAAGAAAAATCTACTCACGACCTCCAATTTTTAAAAAGTGCTCGTAAATATCACATGCAATGTTTTTGAAACGAGCTATTTCGTACACCCGACTAATACGATAGAAGCAACCTACACTATAAAGAAGAATATTCCACTCAATCTATTAAGTGAGACATAAGCTTTTGTGACAACTTACCCGTGTGACTTCTAGCCCCGGTCTCCCCTATTAAGTAACAATAAGTTTTTGACGTAGAACTACGTTTTTCTCGGGGGGTATGGGGTTATGACTGCAACGTTTTCTTGCAACGTTTTCATGCAACGTTTTCTTGCAACGTTTTCATGCAACGTTTTCTTTTTCTCGAAAAGTATTAAAGAAAAATATACTTTATTATATAGTTTTTGAAAGCTCTCGATGTAAGCTAAATGTTTTCGTGGTTAATTTTTCAATATGGGTTTGTTCTCGAAAAGTATTAAAGGAAAATATACTTTATTGTATAGTTTTTGAAAGATTTCGATGTAAGCTAAATGTTTTTGCAATTTAATAAATCGACGAAGTATCAGGAGAACATTTTTAGAGGGGCGAAACGAAGATTTTCCCCTTCAAC